TGAGTTCATCTGTGACAGCCAAGCACTCCCCTCTCATCACAGCTCGGGATGCTCCTGTGGTGATAAATGCCATGAGCTGCTGCTGCTCTGGCCCAGGAGCTGGGTGCCCCTGGCAGCCTGGTGGGCCACCAACTCAGCCTTTCCTCCCTTGKGGTTTTCAGCAGCTGGGAGACCCTGGTGAGCTGTGAGAGGTCTGTGCTGTGTGGGCTGGGACATCTCACCCCTCACTGCCCTTGACATCCTGGGCTGGCTGGGTGCTGACTGCCAGGCTCCCCAAAGGCGTCCTGGGGAGGTTTCTGTWTGAATCATGAGCAAAGTGGATGGAGTGGATCATTCTGAAGCTGAAAAGGCTGAGGAGAGCCCCAGAGAGCAAGGAGCGAGGCTGGCTTGGCTGTCCTGTTTTCTCTGCAGATCAGACTCCTCATTCCTGGATATCTCCTGACAGCTGTTTTCCAGGGCCTGTTTCATCCATGCATTTGTTCTGGCTTCATTGTCCACCCTCATACACCAGAAGGGATGGACACTGCCATGGTGTTGGCACAGAGACAGACCCTGGTAACTTCTGGCACAGAGGTTTAGATTAGGTGGGTCATCTGCACCTTGCCCACTCCCTGGCCCCTTCATCTCTGTTCCCCATGGCTACAGATCCTCCTGGCTCCCCCATCCTCTCATCGAGCTGCCTGTGATCTGGCACAGCCCCCCACCATGGTCAGCAGGGCTGTCAGTGCACTGAGCACGTTTGTTTGTGCCTGACAGCCCTGAGTCCTTCAAGCTGTGTCTGACATCTCTGCTCAAATCCAGTCAGTGACCAAATCCAGCAGGATCAGCAGTTTTTCTGGTTTTTAGGCAGTTTATGACTTCTGATGGCTTGGGTTGATGTGCCTTTGAGAGTTCAGCTGCAGACAGCTGATGCCATGCTCTTTTTGGAGCTCTGGAATGGGCCATGGGAAGTTTTCCCATCCCTTCCCAGCTCCTCCTTTCTCTGGGGAAGCTGTGCTAGGACAGAGTGCATGGCAGGGAACCACGCTGGCTGGATTCACATCCTGACCTTATCAGGACAAATGAGACCAAAGGTTAGTGGGGAATGACATAGGGAATAACTGCAGCTACCTGCACTCTGCTGCTGCACCAACAACCTTTTATTATTGCCTTTATTTCTGCCTTTGGGGCTTTTGCACTTAAAAGGGCTGGAGTGGGGCAGGGACRATTTAACAGTGAGAGAAATACTGAAAGGGGTAGAAAAATGTGGGAGAAAAAGCAGCTCTGAAGTGCAGCACTGGGCCCTGGACTGAAGCAGTTGTGAAACGGAATACACAACTTGGATACAGTTTGTACATGAAAACCCGACTTTCCTCCCTCTCTCCCTTTCTAGGGAAGATGTTTCCCCATCTAAGCTCTTACACTAACTCTTCTACAGATAATACTTCTTTCCTTAGCTCTCTCAAACCTCTGGGAGAGGATTTTGCCTCAAGAAAGCTTCTGTCTTCCTCATGTTGTGTTTACAAATATGGGGTGAAAATGGGCCCATGAGGAACTGGAGAGGAGGAATGATCCTCGACAGCAGAGAAACATTTGTAGTCCAAGACATTTGGTTGCTTTGAAAACAATAGTTTACCTTTGCACCATAAATAAATATCCCACTGGTTCTTGCAGTTATAAATCCGTACCTTTGGTCCTAGGCACTGCTCTCCATCCCAGGTGTGACAKTGTAAATCATGTGACTGCCTGGAAATGTGTCTGGTTATCAGGGTTCAAATAAAGGTGAAAGGATAACTGCGGGCAAAGCTCACACGGGGTGCCATTGCTCGGGATAGCCCAGGGACAGGGGCTCCTCCAGGTGCTGATGTGTTGAGCTGCTCTCTAAGAACCCATTTGGGCAAAGAGTGAGAGAAAAACAACAGCTCCTTGTTTACAAACCCAGGTTTTCAYGGGGAAAAGCTGCAGTTACCAGATGAGTGAGATCCTGCCTTTGCAGCACTGGAAACCTTTGTTGGCACAAACCAGCAGTTCTGCCAGCCTGATGCAGGGTGCTGCAGGGAAAAATCCSTGCTTGAGGTGCTGCAGAGCTTTCCTGTGAACAGGATGTGGGACTGGTTCTGAGATTGTTGTGTTATTTTCAGGCAGTTTTGTCCTGTTGAGAGTCTAAGGCTCTAAAACTAAAGAAAGGGATTTTTTTTTTTGTTTGATTTATATCGGTTTCAAGGCTTACAAGTGATATGCAGCCAGTGAGGGTGTAAGGATGGCACAGGTGATGGAAAGCCTCTGCTGGAGCAGCCTTCCAAGCCTGCAGCGGTAGCTCCATTCATTCCCTAAACTACCAGGGATTACACAACRACTCCTTTTTGTTTTCCACCACAGAGAAATTATCTCTATTTTTACAACAGCTGCTCTGCCTTTAGATCTTTCTCTGTTATGCAAGGTTCATAGCAGAAGAGCTGCTTGCCCTTTGAGCCCTGGCAGTAGGAACTTTCCCTTATTGCTCTGCCTGGTTTGGCAGGGGTGAGCACTTTCCCCGGGGACCTGCTCTCCTGCCCTGTGAACACTTCCCAGGCGAGTTTAGCTGTGTGCATTTTAMAGAGGAGAGCAACTCTTACTCCAGCAGAAGATTACTGGGTTTGTGAAGAGCTTGTTTAGGACAGGCAAGTTCAGAAAAATCCAGTGCCAAGGTTTAAAACTGGTTCTATCCCACCACCTGTGCAGGGAGTTTGTCCCAAAGAGCTGACGATGCTCCTCTGTGTACAGGCAGCCTAAAAGTCTCTTTAGTTTGTTCCTCCTACAAATCGAAGCTGCCCTGGAGGTGATGGAGGAGCCAGTCAGGCACCAGCACAGTGCAGCAGCCTCCAAGCCATSCCACTCTTGAGCTGGAGAGCACCACTCTGTTCTTCCTCCCCTCTCAAAGAGTTCAAAACAACCAAAGTGACAACAAAATACCTGAGTGGAATTTATCCATCCTGATGCTTCAATGGCTGAATAGTAACCAAATTCTTTCATGGGAATTCAGCACTTTTCACTGGCAAAATACCCAACATGCAGACGGTCAYGCAGGTACCTTGGCAGGTAACAAGGGAAAGCACCTCCAGTATCCTGATAAAATAGTCTTGGAGCATGTCTGTGGCCCATGGGTGTCAGGCACTTGCTGCTGCTTTCTTCTGTTCCCAAATCTTGGTGGACATTTCATTGTTGTGGGTCTTTTTTTTGTATCTGAGCATGTTTGTGAAAAGCTTGAACCTTTGAATGCATGAATGGGTGAATTAATCTGTGCCTTATTTTTAGCAGTGTTTGCATCACAGAATTTCCCTTCTCTCTCCTGYCCCCTCCCCCCATATGTGATAAACTTGCAAAGGCTCTTAAAACCAATTTCCTCCTTGTGTTGGTGGTGCTGAGCTGGTGTCCTGCCCCAGGAGGAGAGGTAACTCAAGGTCCTGCAGCCCCACATTCTTTTTCTGTCAGAAGCTGCTGCTGAAGCTGACCAGGACACAAATCTGGTCATGGAATCACAGAACCAGCAAAAGGTTTGGGTTGGAAKGGACCTTAAAGCTCATCTAGCTGCAACCCCCAGCCACGGGCAGGGACACCTTGCACTATCCCAGGCTGCTCCAAGCTCTGTCCAACCTGGCCTTGGGTGCTTCCAGGGATGGGGCAGCCACAGCGTCTCTGGGTACCCTGTGCCAGAGCCTCGTGACCCTCCAGAGTCAAGAATTTCTTCCTAATATCTATAAAATCTGATCCTGCCCTGTGTCACTTTGTAGCCACACCTCCCTGTCCTGTCACTGTCTGCCCAAGTTAAAAGTTGCTCTCTGTCTCTTTTATAAGCTCGCTTTAAGTCCTGGAAGGCTGAGAATGTGGTGGCTGATTTCTTTGTGTACAAAAGTTGCTGCTCCAGACCCGCAGGATTTTAGGGGTGTGTGATTGAAGGCAGCCCTGGTACCTGGGGATTCCAGCTGGGTGGGATCCCCAAGATGGGGACCTTCAGGCCAGGTACCCTGCTCAATARTGTGGCAGGAGCTCTGGGGGACAGCACAGACCCCACACTGCAGGGCTGGCTGAGGTTATGGGGAGCTGCTCCGTGTCCCGGGAAGGCTCTGGCCCTGGGGCTGTCCGGAGGACTGGGCAGTAACTGACAGGACACAGCCACCCTGCCCAGCCTCTCCTCCCCTGCCACCCCWCCATCMTGCTMTGCTGCCTTTCAGACCCACGAGCTRGCACTCAGTTGTCCCTCTTYGCTCAGAAAGTGTCACATCTGTCCCTCCCCTGCAGCACAGCCGGAGCCGAAGGCGGTAGGAAATGTCCTTTTTGTTCCAGCGCTTTGGGCTGGGTCTTCCTCTCTCAGCCCGGCATTCTCCTCTGCTCTGGCCCAGCAAATGCAGTTATTCCCCAAGGCCATCACAGCACAGGGGTTTTCCAGGCAGTGTCACCGGTGGCTGTGGCTCTCACACATTGTCTCAGMCTCTCTTGTCTCCCACCACGATGATGCAATAACATCAGCACTTTACAGCACAAGGTAGAGCAAATAAATCACATATTCAGGGGAAAAACAGCCTGCTTTCTCCTCTCCTTCTGAACTGCTCTTGTGCTTTCTTTTAAGGCAGATATGCTGTATTTAGCTAGGGCTTCACTGCTGATCTAGTCCCAGAAATCAAAGGTATTCCTGATAGGAACAGCCATAGCAGGGACTGGCTGYACAGGATTTTGTAACCTTGCTCTGAGTCAGGTCTGACTTGCAGGTGATGACAAACACAAAGCAGCYACCCCAAAAAGCACAGCAGCTGGGCTCCCCTTCCCCARCATGCAGGATTCCACCCATCAGCTRCCCTTGGAAGAGGCTGGGGAGCAGAATATGAGAGCAAAATAAATTCCCTGTGCTTTCATGAGTCATGAAAAAGCCCCTMCAACTGTCTCTGTCAACAGCACATCTGTTTGAGTATTTTCAAAGAAGCTGGAATGCATCCTCTGAGCTCTTCCATGAGAGAAAGTAAACATGTCATATATAAAACATTTTATTAAAACAAATATACAACACTTTATATACAAAAATAAAATGTACAGCTTAGTGATTTGATTTCTATCTATTACACACACAATAGAACTTCTTCCATCCAGCACTCTTCTGCACATGCTGATCCAGAGGACCTGTGGGATGTTACAGCTTGTGTGCAGTGCTGAAGGGATCCCTGCAGAGTGCCAGAAGGGATCTGGGAAAGGCATGGTAAAAATAAAGAGCTCTGCCTCTATCAGTGCAAAATTGTTTCATGCAGCAGCTCTTGAACTTATATTAGGAAAAGGAAAGGGCCTACGGCAGAGATCATCCTATAAGTGCACCTGGGAATGGACTGGGTGGAAGCAAAGCCTAAACTGAACTTTCACATTTTAATGGTCTATTTACAGAGTCTGAAAGATGAACTATATGATGGAGTAAATCAAAGAAGAAAGGGCCCATTAGTGCAATCTTTCTGCCTAAGTGTAATGACAGTTGTTAAGCTCAATATTACCAGTGTCGCACAGGTAAGCAGCAACAAATCTAACAGGTGAGAGACTCATCTGCAGTGTCTCCTGGAAGCATTCCGTGGGTAAAGTGCTCATCTCATCACAGCACACGTGGGGAGGATGGCAACCTGCTCCCCAGGCCTGTGAACMCCACCAGCTCAGGCTCCATGGCACACCCAAAGCTTCCAGCAAAAGCTTCACCTCCGGAGCGATGAGCGATGAGCTCGCCTGCAGCTCCCACCTTCCGTGCCAGAGATGGGGTTCCTTTTTTACATTGATAATGGTGTTTTTCATGAAAAACTCTCCAGGCCTACAACTCAAACGGAATAAAAAAGCTACTTTGCTCAAAGTCAGTAACAAAAAATTTCTTCCATTCTCTCTGCACCTGTCAAAGTTTCTATCCAAGAGCAGTTTGTGGTTGGAAGAAGCCAGGGGTTTACAACCCACAGGGAATGACCTGCATGGTTGGCCTCACTGTATCCAGCCAGGATAAGTCCAGGCTGCTTTTCTGGTCAAAGAAACGGAAATCCATCTCTCCTAAAGAAAAAGGAAACAAGAATAGGCACTGAATCAATGCAGCAAGAGAAAAATAGAGTATAAATATCTAAAAAATAAATATAAAAAATGGAAAGATTTCTCAGATGAGAGTAAATACCTGTATTATTTTGCTAAAACACACCAAAGTCCCTCCAATATGCTGTCTCATTTAAGATATTGYTAGATTAAATTCTTCAGTTACATTGCAAGGGGTTCCTGAAAGCTGACCTAACTTACACATATACAACCCCGAAATCTGTAGGATACTCTTGCTGGAGGTGTTTTTGACTTTCCCTTTTCATCAATAAACTCCTTACAGCCTTCCAACAGGCTGCTCAGAAACCTCAGAACACAAGGATGGTGAACTCCTCCATTTCTTCTGCCTCCCAATTAGTGTTTAATGTGCATCATCCTTGACTGTCAGGGTGGCCCAGGAGCCTGTACCTGAAGTTGTGTCGATGTCCCCATCCTGCTCCTTGAAGCCATAGGTGCTGCACAGGGTCTGGGTRCCCGACTCGTTGGTGAGAAAGCCTTTCCCCCCAATGCTGGTGCTGTGCCAGTCTTGGGCTGGTCCAAGCAGCTGGAAGAGAAGAAGGAGATGGTAAAAACTGCTCCTTCTTGCTGTGACTTCTTGCAATGCTTGATTTCTTGCCCTTACTTAGAAGACAGGTAAGCAGCAAGATCAAGTTTTACTCACAGTTTAAAAAAAAAAAAGTTAATGCAAAACAGCAAGGGCTGGAGCACCTTATCCTATCTTATCAGTGGGATGTGCGTGAYATGTCTGGAAATGCAGATTAAGAGCCAAATGTGCCAGAGGTGGAGGGAAGGACAAAATAGAAAAGTCTGGAGAATCTTTGCAGATCCTAATACAACAACCTGAGATCAAGGAAATTGCCTCAAGTTGTGCCAAGGGAAGTTTATACTGGATATTAGGGAAAAAAAAATCATGGAAAGGATTGGAACAGACTGTCCAGGGAAATGGTGGAGTCACCATCCCTGGAAGTGTTCAGAAAACATGTGGATATAGCACTTGAGGGCATGGTTAAATGAGCATGGTGCTGGTGCTGGGTTGATGGTTGCACTTGATGCTCTTGGAGGCCTTTTCCAACCTTAACAATTCTGTGATTCTCTACTCCTAGCAGTACTCTGTAACTTCCTCTGACTTTCATATAAAGGACAAATATTTCCATGGGTGTGTCCTCTCCAGTTCATATTTGCAAAGCAGCTTTCTTTCTACATTTAATTTTTCAGTCTTCCTCATTAAGTGCACATTCAGCTCATGTGAGAYTGGATCAGACACCTGCTTCCCTTCCTCTCTTGGTACAAACACCAACTTTGAACAATTTTATTCTGACCAGAAGAGCTGGTTTTACCTTAAAAATATCCGGATTTATTTCCTCTTCATCTTCATCTGTGACTGTTTTGTAAGCACATYAAAAAAAGAGAAGAAAACATAGATGTCAACTTTTAGCCCTCATACTTCTGCTTCTTCACCACAGAACCTGCTTCATATTCTCTTGTCACACAACATCACCACTTTTTACTCACACCCACCYCAGACTCCTCACAGCCCTTCATCTCTGTTACTCAACAAATGCACGTTGAGGTGCAGGGCTCCAGCCAGCTCTGATGCTTCCCCAGCACTCAACAGAACAGAGCCCTTTTGCTCGGGGAGATGACAGGAGGAAGGTGATTTGAACCCCGAGTGAAGAACCACTCTGATCTATCCATGTTAATTATTCATCTCCCCAGTGGGAAGCATGGCTCCCTCCCCTGTCTCTAYTGCAGCAGGTGGCATTTCAGAGCCTGTCACCCAGGAGCAGGTGGCATGTGCCAGCCCTTCCCTTCTGCCCTCTGGCTGGTTTGGTGACTCCAAATTCCCAGATCTATCAGGTGGAGGTTGTTTTTCTACAAAACAACTCTTGTTCCTCCTGCTGCCCCAGGCACTCCTTCTCCTTGCTGCCTTGCCTCCAGCAGACTGGGTAGGAAAAAAGGAATGCCCACCTTCGGAGGATGAAGCCAGGGGAGACACCTGGAGCTGGTAGAGATCGTTGGTGCTGTCAGCCATGGGCACCTCCATCGCCGGCCTCCAGTCGGTCAGGGAGCCGCTCACCTCGCAGGAGGACAGGTCTGTGGGATGCACCAGAGCTGGCACTCACAGCACAGGGACAGCCACTCCATTTCCTCCCTGCCAGCCTGACAGTGCCGTCACCCCAGCCCCGASACCCATCCCTGACCGTGGGTTCAGCACGAGCAGCACTTCCCACCCCAGCAGTGTCTCACCTAAGGTGATGGCCGGGCTCTCCACCTCCACTTCCTGCCCTGCATAGTCGTGAATGGTGTAGCCACTGTGGTCATCTGGCAGAGGAGTGTTGGTTAAGCTTTCTGCTGACTCCTCYGGCCTCGCCTCTTCATAAAACTACAAAAACAAGGGTAAAGCGTGAAAGACTTGTCTAAGAACACGCAAGTTCCCATATGAAAAAAGTTAAGCAAGAAAACCACCAAAACCTCTAGCTTCTTCAGCTGCCTCTACAGACACATACCTTTCTCTTGCTCCTGTTTCTTACTTCTCTTGAAGACTTTGACTTCCTTTCTGTGAAATAAAGTAAGACAATTGTGAGAAAGGGCTGCACGTTTTAGGCAAGTGTGAGCTCTTGCAGCCTTAGAACCTGCTCAGCAAGCTCAGCTACCGCCAGCAACAGCCAGACCCCATCAGCTCCCAATGCTGCCTTTAGGCACGTTCAAGGAATTTGGGATAAAATTTTCTGTTTGTACAAGCTGTTCCAGCAATAACCAGTGAGCAAGCCCAGTGGCACTGGTGCTACCCACAGGTCCGTTACCCTCTGCTCATTAAGTGCTGTTTAAACACTGTAATTCCAGCTGCATTGCCAAGGGTTTACCTTTCTTCTGATGCTTGGTCAAGGGGGGCAGCATCCTGTAAACCCTGACAGCACTGGAGCCCTTGTTGATGCTTTTATCCTTCACTTCTTCAATGTCAGGCARGGAATTCATGGCACAGCGGAAGTTTGCCTTCCAGGTTTTTGGATCAGGATCTTTCTCACCTTCTTTATACCTTCCTACAAATAAGACATGGGTGGTGTGTTTARGATTTTGCAGTGCTGGTTTTTCGCACCCCAAAATACCAACATTCAGTTTTCTGATATATACACTAGGAGCTAATCTAAATACCAATGTAAATCAAGGGTAAGTCAAGGCAAAAAAAATACCTTATTTAAGATAGTCACACGACTGATGGGAATGTGAAGGCAGCACACACCTGTATGAATGGCCCAGCTCCGGAAAAGGCAGGCGTCCTTCTCCATGTCCCAGCCATGCTTAGCTGCRTGTTTCCATGGGATTTGAAATATCCTCTTATCCTGAAATTAAACCAATAGAGATTTGAATTAAAAAAAAATAAACATCACATGCCAGTTTGGAATGATGGATTTAATCAAAGAGTTCTCAGYTGCAGCTCAGAAATGTTACAACCCYYCTGCTCCATATTTTMATTAAATATCCATTGTTACATCTATTTTGTACATGGCCTTTAAGGCTTTYTATGGTTTCTGAAACTGAGAAAAAACTCCAAATGTGCTACAGTACAGTAGAAGTAAGCAATATTATCAACTCTATSCCAGAAAAATTTTAATACATTGCATCTAATCTATTAGYATGTCATAAATTACAGCATGTTTTCTCAATAGGCTTTGGCAGACAATCCCTTTTTTAAGATGTCCATAAAATCCTGCAGCAATCCTACAAAAAACACATAGCTTAAACACCCTCTTGGGATGGATATGGAAACTTCAGAGACGTGGTTCAATAAGCTCAGTGATCTTGCCTGTGCTGTACCCTGGTACAGGGATATGCCTTACAGACCAAAAAATATAGCATTTCTTTCAGGTTGGATCTTAAAATTGGGAGCAACTGGAATATATCAGCAGTTGCATATCTGGGACAGGAGGTGACTTGGTTCAATGAGCAGCARGAGTTAAAAGAGATCCTGAAGGTTTCTTGGTTCTCCAATATGCTCAGAATGTTTTCACTGTAATTTATCATTCCCCTCCTGGGAATTTTCTGAGGAAAAAACGGAACTACTTCACTGTGTACCAAGCAGAGCTAMCTTTCCTGCAAACAAAAACTGTCASTTTTTAAACATCATGCTGGCAAGTTTTCTCCTTGTTTTATACTTTATAATCTTGAGTTGTGTTTAGTGTAAATTAAGAACAAGGATCATTAATGATACACAAATAATACTACTAATGATGATAGTAGCACAAAGTAGCCTCACCCTGTTAATCCATATCAGTCCTGGTATTTGATTGGAATCAATCTGCATTTCCAGCCAGGGCCTCATGCGCATTCTTGACACCGGCATGTCGGCTGTGAAAGAAGCAACAAACAGGTCATCCAAACGCTCATCACTGCTGTAACCACACTGCAGTCGCCCCTCCCATCCCCTCTGTGTCTCAGCATCACCACCACTGCTACCGAGAACTACTTTTCCGGCCCTAACTCTGGTTCAGTGCCTCTCACCTGCTCCTGGAGGGAAGTGCTTCCTGCTCCGCCAGGCTCAGCCCCAACACAGTGCTCAGGTTTGCAATTCGGCAGAGGCCGATGGCAGCAGTGGGTGTTCAGCCCGTGCAGCGTGGGGAGCTCTGTGTGGGACTGCTGGGGCCGRGGGGAGCCTCCCGCCAGCACCGCGAATGGTGCGGGTGTCCCCAGGCTCTGCAGCCACCGAGAGGCACCGACTGCACTGTCCTCTTCTTCAAAGTTTATTATTAATTAACTTGCGCAAAATGGGGACAGCGGCGCTGCTGCAGATGGGGATCCCCAATTCCACCAGGACCCCTCCCCACCAACGGCGCCCGGCGCTGCCGCCGCAAGGGACCGGCCCTCCCGGCGCTTCCTTTGCACAAATAATTTCCTGTTWGCGGTGTTTTCCAGCCCAAGATTGCCCAAAGAGCACGTTTCTAACTTTGATCAGCAACCCGCTCGGCGGGGGCGGGACAAGGTCCCAGAGAGTGGCCGTCCCGGGCCAGGGGCCGCCAAGAGCTGCCCCGGAGCCGTGGGGCTCGGGCCGCCCGCTCCACCCCGGGCTCATCGGCGGAGCGGAGCCGTGAGCCGTGCCCGGCGCCGCGGGTGCGCAGGGACAGCCCGCCCCAGCCCGTCCGCTCCGGGGCTTTGCGCTGCTCGCAGGAGGGATTCCCGGAGCCCACCGACGGCTGCCGCTGCGATGCGCCCGCTCCGCCTCCGGACCACCCCGCACCACAGCGGCCGCCTCCTGCCGAGCGGAGTCGAGCCAAGCCGTGCCCCCAGCACCGCTCACACCGACCCTGCGGGGCGCCTTCTCCCCGAACCTCCGCGCTGCGCAAAGTGGGGGGGATAACGGTGGGACGGGACGGGACGGGACGGGACGGGACGGGACGGGACGGGACGGGATGGGATGGGATAGGATAGGATAGGATAGGATAGGATAGGACAGGACAGGATAGGATGCACCGCGACCCACCTCACTGCGGTGTGCAGTGCCGCGCTGTGCAAATACGCGCCGCTCGCCCCCCGGCCGATGCGCACCCGCCGCTCGCCGCCCGGCTCTGGCTGCCGCCGGCCGCGCCCGCGGGTATAACGCGGCGGGCTCCGGGATTCCCCGCGCCCGGGCCCGGCCGCCTCCCGGCCAATGGGCGCCGCGGCGAGGGGCGGACGCGCTCGCCATTGGCGGCCGCCGCAGCATCACTTCGGGGAAATCACGCTGTTGTAGCACCAGCGGCTCGGGGGGGCGCGGCTCCCCCGCCGCCAGCCCCGGACCCGGCCCCGCCCTCCGCCCGCCCGCGCTGGCCCCGGGGCAGCCGGCACCTCCCTGTGCATGGAGGAACACTGTC